CCGATAGATTTTGAGGTGCTAATTACGAATTTCCCAATTATTTTGCGCTATCTCCTTTAGTTTCGCCGTAATCGGCGTTTAAAAATTCAAATTTTTTTGCGAGATATCGACTTGGCTTTGGCCTCAATCGATAGATTTTCTTACGCTGATTACGATGGAGTTGGACTGATTGCTCTAAGTCTAATAGTTTGGCCGTAATCGCCGTTCAAAAAGTGAAAATTGTAAAAATTGTGAAACTTTAAATGCGTTTTTCTACGAAACTATAGAACTTAGAGCAAAGAGCTAAAAACCATTAAAATTAGCTTAAAATTATCTATTTACTGGCGCAAACCGGAAGTCGCTCCGGGTTATGGTTCCGGGTACAGAGCCATTTTTAGTTTTTTCAAAAAAAAATTCATATCTCAAAAACTATGAGTCTTAGGGCAACAGGGTTTGTACAGGCGTGTTCTCCGGTTAATTTTACATATAGTACTAGTTTTTCATAAGAATCAAAAAATTTTGATTTTTGTTCAAAATCGGATATAGTGCTTATACTTTTAGCCTTATTCTTAACTTTATTACTCAATATCTCAAAAACTATGCATCGTAGAGTATTTTAACTAGTTGCATCGTGTTCAGCGCGGAATTTTACGTCTAGAAACCATATTTCAAGCGTCTTTACAATGTAAAAAACGATAAATCAATTTTAAAGTTGAAATTTTTTTTTGATTTTTGTCGAGATTTTGGCACCCGGAACGGTCTATTGGCAATAACTCCGGACTTATTGGAGATAACCTCTTATATTTGGTACCGTTGGAAAGAAAATTTAATTTTCTATCATATATAGAAAAGATCAGTGCTCTACGATAAACAGTTATCGAGAAAATTTCTGATAAAGTCAAAAATATCAAAAATATAAATAACTTCAAAACTATTACGAATTTTGCAGTTTTTTTGACGCCAATCGATTCCCCGGAACATTTTACATAGGTTTAGGTCAAAATATTGTATCGATGAAATACAGTTTTCCCACAATGTACAAAATAAAAAAAAAATTTGAAAATCCCAAAACACACTTTCAAAAAATTAATTAAAAAAAATCACCATGTTATTCAGTAATTTTAATTACTCGCGCTTATCTCTAACCGTACGTCGAAAAATGTGAGTTATTTCCCCGAAATCGCTCATTACGGTAATTTTAATGAGAAATGTGTGTAATTTAACGTCGCTGCAATAAAAATCTCTGAAATATTTCATACTCTTTTACTGAAAAAATCAGTAAAGGCCATCTTCAAGGAAGCCTGAAAGCGCGTCTCCACGCCAACTAAGCTCAGTCTTGGAAGATTATCGGTGCTGAACGGTCGTTTCTTCATGTGATGCGCGATTAATAAACCTGAAACGGTGATGGCTTCATAATTTTCAGCGAAAAACCAAAGGTAAACAACGCAAAAAACGTAGTTTCCTGAAAAAATCGCTTTCCACGCTCGGGCGCACATCGCGAATAATTAATTAATTAACAGTTGATTAATTCATAGTGAAACGAGAATTGCCAATAAAACAATCAAAAAAATTACTAAACTTGTTTATTAGTGCTTGAACGCATTCTTTGCGGTAATTTACCTAACTAATTAACTACAGAACGAATCAATTTATGTTTCAATAATTCACATTGAGTGGAAATAGAAATCAAGTTGCTTGATAAGGATGTGCTGTCACTCGCGATGATTTAATTCAATTTTTCTCCAAACAGGGAATAAAGTGACGCTTTATTCCCGCGTTTTGACCAAATCGGGAACAAAATAAACGAAATACCGATTTTTACTCTTAAAACTGGTGTTTGTAATAAATAAAAAAATTGTATATTGTTTATTAGGATTAAAAGTGTCACTTTTAAGCCTATTTTTTCTCGAGCCAACAATAAAATGCGCAAAATTATTTGAATAAAAATGAATTTTTTTTTATTCTCAATCCTAGACTATTTTTTTTAAGTCTATAGGATTAAAAATGAGAATTCCATGGTAACAAATTTTTTTCCTAATTACAAAATGTCAATTTTATCTTTCACAAATGACATTAAAAATGATTTATTTTAATCCGGCTGGAGAAAAACTGAGTATTTTGACAAATTTTTTGACAATTGACAAATTTATGACAATAGAAATAAAGTGACACTTTATTCCCTCGGGAATAAAATAAATAAAATTCCAATTTTTCATTAATTTGTGTTGGGAGCAAAGTTTTGTGTACATCTCGGAAAAAAACTAATTAATGTTTCTACAGGGTGATTCAAAAATACATGAAAATTCAATTTTATGTAACGAGCAGTGGGCGAGTTTTTTAATTATATGTAAAAGTGATAATCACAAAACTTATAAAATAAATAAAATTCCAATTTTTAGAATACACAAACTCCTTAATACCGATTTTTACTCAAAAAATGCAATTAAATGAATTAACTATTTTGACAAAATACTTAATTTTATTTATTTATTTTATTAATTTATTCTGTTGAGAAGAAAGTTTTGTATGCATCTCGGGAATAAACGTCGTCTTAATAAAAATGCCCTCGACTCATTTTGGTCACCTCTGGTGTTACCTCCATTTTCGAGATTAAAATTGTTGTTTATTTTTGTAAAACATAAATAATTATTAATTTCATTAAAATAAAATAAAAAATCAATCAATTTATGTTCCAATAATTCACATTGAGTGGAAATAGAAATCAGGTTGCTTGATATGGACTCGCGATGATTTAATTCAATTTTTTTTCCAAATAGGGAATAAAATGACGCTTTATTCCTGCGTTTTGACTAAATCGGGAACAAAATAAACGAAATAATGATTTTTACTCTTAAAACTGCAATTGAATGGTAACAAATTCTTTGACATTTGACAAATTTATGACAACAGAAATAAAGTGACACTTTATTCCCTCGGAACTTTATCCCTCGAGAATAAAATAAATAAAATTCCAATTTTTCATTAATTTGTGTTGGGAGCAAAGTTTTGTGTACATCTCGGAAAAAAAAACTAATTAATGTTTCTACAGGGTGATTCAAAAATACATGAAAATTAAATTTTATGTAACGAGCAGTGGGCGAGTTTTTTAATTATATGTAAAAATGATAATCANATGTTTCTACAGGGTGATTCAAAAATACATGAAAATTAAATTTTATGTAACGAGCAGTGGGCGAGTTTTTTAATTATATGTAAAAATGATAATCACAAAACTTATAAAATAAATAAAATTCCGATTTTTAGAATAGACAAACTTTTTAATACCGATTTTTACTCATAAAATTGCAATCAAATGAACTAAATATTACGTTAAATTACTTGATATTATTTATTTATTTTATCAATTTATTGTGTTGAGAAGAAAGTTTTGTATGCATCTCGGGATGAAAATGCCCTCGGCTCCTTTTGGTCACCTCTGGCGTTACCTACTTTTTCGATGAAAATTGTTGTATTTCTCTTAAAATATTAATTTTGGGGTGCAGTTCGGGGATGGTTGCCCCAACCCGATGACATGGGTCAAAAGCCATCCACTTTGGGTGGCAAACAGTGGATTTTTCGGCGAGAGCACCACCCGAATCCGGAACAACCAATCAAATTTCAGTATAAGACGCGACGGAAACACCAAGAGAGAACCACGAGTACCAACAACGAGGTGAAATGTCGGATTGTGAAGACGCAAAATGTGCTCAGGGCGAAATCCGAGCCGAATTTGTGCGTGGAGCGAAAGGAGAGGCACAGACATCGACGCAAGGGCCGGATCAGGGAGGGCTGGGGAGGAGGGGAGCGCTTCGGGTACGAAATTCAGGATGTGGACGATTTTCTCACAAAGGTAAGGGGGAATCCCCGAAATTCGGGTCGGATTAAGTTGGCAACATTGCACTGTCCATGCCCAAAGAGTGCTTTAATAGTCTAGTGCAATTTGTTTTTACAAAGTTGGTACTCATTGTTATTTAAATTGAATATAAAAATCAAAAAAAAAACAAAGAAAATAATAAGAAAATGTAAAAAAAAGTTTGCTGGAATAAAATTATAAGTGTGAAATAAAGGGTAACGTCGGGAATTATAATCCACTTGTGTGAACAAAAAACTAAAATATTTAACCAGTAAAAAATATGAATATGATTAATAAGTAAGTAAAAAAAGGCTTGTAGTTTTATACGTTGGAAATAACTATATTTGGAAGTGATTAATGCTACACTTAAAATTGTCAAAATGCAAAATTGTGTTTAAAAACACAGCTGTTTTTAAATATGTCAAATGTCATTTTTTGACATTTTCCTTTGGTAACCTTATCAACATTCAAATATAATCATTGACAACGTATAGCTCACAATAATCGAAAAAAATATTGGAAAATTTTTCTTGAAAAATTAGTAACTGAAGACTTTTTAAACAAGCCGAAACGTTGGCTATTTGGTCATTGACAATGTATATCTTAACGCATTTTGCACATTTTAACGATTTTAGAAGCTAATAAATTCTTGCGCTAAACCAACTTACCCTGGCTTACCCTATTTACTTTCATTTGCATTATTTAATTATCTAATATTTAAATCAATAAAACATCAAGTATAGTTATTGACTACGTATTTATAGTGCACGTTATGCAAGTCCCTAAGAAAACTTAACCAGCTTTACCCTACTTATTGTACAAAATATTTTTGCTTGTTTTCCCAAGTCATCTTATCGCTACGCTGAACCGACTTTCCCAGACTTACCCTATTTACTGTCATTTTTATTATTATTTAAATGAATAAAAAATAAAATATAGTCATTGACAACGTATTTAGTGTAAGTTTTGTGCAAGTCCTTCAGGCCTTTTTACCCGGCCTTACCCTACTGCGATTTATTTTTATTGTACAAAACATTTTGGCGACTAATTAAACTAATAAATTTCTCCGCTGCACCACCAACTTACCCCGACTTACCCTAATTACTTACTTGATTATAAAATGAAATACAACGTATTTGATCTAAGTCCCCTACGCCACCTTACCCAGCCTCACCCTACTGTGCTTGATTTCTCTAGTAGAAACCAATTTTTTCGCTTGTTTTCCCAAGCCATATGCGATAATTTCGAAAATAAATCGATTATGGTCTAAAAATTTACTAAATTATATTGAAATTGACCTTATTTTAGCTTGTTTTGCTCGATTTAGTTTGTTTTTTAAATAGAGACTTATTTATTTTGCCAAAATATGATTAAAAATTAAAAAAAATAAGTGTTAATTAATGTTATTTTGTTGGATTTAGCTCATTTTGAGTAAGATTTTGGCAAAATATTAACCGAAAAACACAAAATTTGGTCGAAAATGGTGTTACTTGACCTTTTCAAGTCTTTATAGTGAACGAAAATCTCAGTTTTTTTCGAGATTTTGCTAAAATAAAACAAAAAAAAAAGTGTTTTAGCATGTTTTTCAGGTAATAACGTTCCTATTTGTAAAATTTCGTTAAACATAAGTCAAAAAAAATTATAGAATTAGACCAAAAATGTGTTATTTTTGCCTTTTTAAGCCAGATCTGCGAGATTTAAATTGAAAATAAATTATAAAAAATTAAATATAGTTATCGACAACGTATTTGGTGTAAGTTTAGTGCAAGTCCCCCACGCCTCCATACCCGGCCTCACCCTACTGTGCTTGATTTTTCTCGTAGAAACCAATAATTTTTTCGCTTGTTTCCCAAGCCATCTGCGATAATTTCGAAAATGAATCGATTACGGTCGATGAGCGCCCGCCTGGGGCCATTCCTGCGTTCCGTGGGCTATAATTCACAAGTCCGGTTGGGGGCGGAGTCCGGTGTGTCTGTGGTTACCGCTCGCACCGGTCCCCATAGCTCACATTCTCCTCCAGCGTGGTGTTTAGTTTGTCAGAGAAGGGCAATTAAACGCCTCGGAAAGCCAGGTCAAGGGGTACCAAATCGTGGAAAACACCTGTTCGATATCCACCCACGACCGATAATTATAGGGTCGTCGACGCAATCTCCTTATTAATCTCGATCGTGTTTGGTTTTTTTTTTTTCTTGAAACTAATTGTGGGTACTTAAATTTTAGGCCACGATTGAAAAACCGGCCAACATTCCGGTCGTCTTGGCCTTCCCGAGCATTTTGTACCAGACAAGAGTCGGGGGGTACCAGGCCGAAATCGCGTTGCCTTTGGGGATGGTTGTCAATGCGGTGTTCAAAAACCAGCATTGGTTGTATGTGCAGACGCCCCATGCCGAGGAGGGGTACGTCAGCTACGCCGCATGTCTACCACTAGGTAAAAAAAAAAAATTTCCCCATTTTATGACACTCTCTCGTCAAAATTAGTTGGCAACATTGAGAAATGCAAAATGGCAGAGCAGGTTTCTGTATTATAAACAGTGTCAATTAAAGACGTCAAAATTTGACATTTCTGACCCAAATTTCGATTTTTGGTTATGTGTTTCCTATTTTTTGACATTCATTCTACAGGATGGTCCAAAAGTCTGGAAACGATTTTATTCCGGCGAAACTATCAATTTTTTTTATAGGTGTGCAATGGCTGTAAAAATGTTAATTAATTGTTTATACTTACGAGATAAACATAATAACAATTTTTTTTTAATGGAAACCTACTACAAGAAGAATTGTTGCTGTGCAAAATTTTTTTGTAAACGTTACCTTTTT